CCCCAGCCCAGGAGGGGCCCCCGGGGCCCCTCTTGCTGCAGCAGCAGCCGGAAGCCCTGCAGCAAACCCTTGTACTCCTGGGGCCTCACTTGCATGCGGCACTTAACTACATCTAAGGGACAAACGGCTGTGTGAGTTATTCCGCAAGACAAAACCCCCCCCAGCATGCACTTCAAGTAGTAGCTGCTGCTGTGCGGGCAGGGGTGGGGCTTGCGGCTGCCTGCTTCGCAGAAACGCGCGTTCCAGGGACCTGCTGCTGCTGCTGCTGCTGCTGCTGCTGCTGCTGCTGCTGCTGCGTCGGCAGAGCCCGCTGCAGCGCCCGGAACCCCCGCGGAACCCGACGAACGCGAAACCGAGGCCCCCGAGGCCCCTTTTTCCGCCATTTTCTCCCAATTAACTCTTCTTTTTCTTTATTTGAACTTTTCTCCGCTTTTTGCGAAAAAATTCCGCAAAAAATGAACCCAAAACCGACCCGAGACGCTGCGCGCGCCCCAGCCAGCTGTACAGACACCCCAAATGCATGCAGCCACTGCTCACAAAGCCCCAACGAAATTCATTTCAAAACTTTTCTTCTTTTCTTTTATTTGCAAATTCCATTTCTTACTTCGCTTCCAACTGCCAAACCAGCACTCCACAAGCCTGCACACAACGCAAACCCTAAACCCTAAACCCTAAACCCTAACCCCAAACCCTAAACCCTTGCATTCCCGAAACCCTTCTTTCTCGGAATGGAACGCAAGGACCAGCAAACACCCTGAGGCGATACCCCCGCGAGGGCTTCGCCAGGAAGAATCCCAAACCCGGATCTAGGGTTTAGGGTTTAGGGTTTAGGGTTTAGGGTTTAGGGTTTGGGGCTTACCATGCTCCGCCTACCGCCGCGCCGCTTGTTAAGGACCCCGCCACTGCAGCAGCTCGCTGCTGCAGGTGTTCCTGGGGAGCCACGCAGCAGCAGCAGCAGCAGCAGCTGCAGCTGCTGCTGCAGCAGCAGCAGCAGCAGCAGCAGCAGCAGCAGCAGCAAAGTTCCAGCTGGAAAGCTCTCCAGCGCAGCAGCTATGAGGACTCCACGGCCATGGCGTGCTGGAGCAGCAGCAGCAACAGCAGCAGCAGCAGCAACAGCAGCGGTACCCGCAGCAGCAACTGCAGCAGCAGCACCAACAGCAGCAGCAGCAGCAGCAGCAGCAGCAGCAAGACGAGGGTTTGGCACACTTGCTTCTGTTGCTACAGCTCAGCAATACACTCGAATGTATGACGCAGCCATCATGCCGAAACGCCTGCGCAAAATTAAGGTAAACCCTAAACCCTAAACCCTAAACCCTAAACCCTAAACCCTAAACCCTAAGTGGAGAGTGAAGCGCTCTAGGGTTTGCGAGCTGTGGCTCGAGGCCTGGACTTTCTGTTTTAGCTTCCAGGTTTCAAAGTTTAGGGTCTAGGGCTTATGTTTTAGGGTTTAGGGTTTAGGGTTTAGGGTTTAGGGTTTAGGGTTTATGGTGAAGGTGTTCATTGCTCGGCCCCCCGACAGTCTGCCCATATATTTCCACGAGAAGCTGAGCAAGGCCAACTCAAACCCTCGATCCATCATCAAGTACAAACCCTAAACCCTAAACCCTAAACCCTAAACCCTAAACCCTAAACCCTAACCCCTAGCGGGAACAAACCCTACCTAGACCTCCCTCAAGAAGGCGCGAGCGCGCCGCAAAAACCCTGAGACCCCCCTGCTCCGGAAAATCAGAGTTTAGGGTTTAGGGTTTAGGGTTTAGGGTCTAGGGTTTAGGGTTTAGGGTTTAGGGTTTGTGGTTTAGGCTCTACCGGCGGTACATGAAATTGGATGATGAAATTGACTACAAATGGCTCGTGCGGTGTTTTTGCCAGTTGGGGAATGTCTTCGGATTTAATTCTTTTTGGTAAACCCTAAACCCTAAACCCTAAACCCTAAACCCTAAACCCTAAGGTCTGAGGAGGGGCCGAGCTGGGTGTGCGTCGCCACGAGGCGACCCGGGCGTGCTAGCTCCTAAACCCTAAATCCCAAACCCTAAACCCCAAACCCTAAACCCTAAACCCTAAACCCTAAACCCTAATCAGTAAACCCTTTTGCGAGTAGGGCCCCGCGAGATAAGCAGCAAATCCATTCGCTGCCTTCTTTCAAGTGTCTGGTGTACGACCTCATCGAAAGAAGAGAACAAATCCAGGCAAGGGTTTAGGGTTTAGGGTTTAGGGTTTAGGGTTTAGGGTTTAGGGTTTAGGGTTTAGGGTTCGCCGCTTGAGGTCTGCAGACGCTGAAAAAAGTGCAGCGGGTAACCGAGCGTCCCCGCATGAGGGTTTAGTGCTTGGCGTGTAGGGTTTAGGGTTTAGGGTTTAGGGTTTAGGGTTTAGGGTTTAGGGTTTAGGGTTTGCAGCCGGAAATGGTGCCGCGCCTGCTGTACGCCATGGCCGCCCTGGAGTACCGCAGCTACCATTTGCTGCCAACTCTTCTTGAACATGTCGAAGCAAACCTCCACGTAAA